GTAATCAATTATTCATAGGTGTTTAAATAATGTTATATTCAATTCACTGTTAGAAAACATGACAAATTAATATGTTGTATTGCTTACATGGGACTAATCTCATAGAGTGTATTACAAAACATAAAAGAGATAAAATTTATTGTATGATTGGATAAGACATAAAAATAGTATATCATCTTAAAAGATAAAAATACTAACCAATGATAGATCTAATCACAAGATAATGAATTCAAGACTCAAGATCTATGTCACCAGATATTTTTTCCCTTTCTAATTTGGTTAGAATTAGATTTATTTTATTCTGGATATATATTTTTTTAATATTAGAGCAAGCCCCTAAAATAATTACATCATAAAGTTGATCACCTTCTAGGAACACTCTTGATTAAAATAGCAGTTCTCATGTTTCTATAAATTTCAAACTTTTGTTTTCAAGATTTTAGTTTAGGAATTTCAATTGGGATAAGATTAAACTCAAGCAGCTCTTATTGAAGGCCAAAGAAGGAATCATAAGGATCACAAAATATTTGGAAACAAAATAGCACTTGAAGTTATCTTACTATTAAGCCTTTGATTTTGATTAGGAATAACTTTAATTTAATGTTTTTCATTTTATTAAAAATTCAAGGCTTAATAATCATATAGTAAGATCGAGAAAAGGCTTAGGAATTAAGAACTATACTGTAAAAAAGATAAAAGAAGTGTCTTGGACCCTAAAATTATAATGAGCACAACGGGTACGAATAAGAAGCTCAAACATAATCCATGAAGGTAAATTGGGATTTATAGGTCTCTATATCATCAAATAAATAAATCAAACTAAAATTTTCTAGACTTATGACCTTAACTAGAGTTGTTACTCAACTAACTGACCTACATTTTAGACGAATGAGTTCAATCACACATAGATGTGCTAGGGATAGTCTTTATCATTAAAGATTTAAGAAGAACAATTGGGACTTATGACTCCAATCCTATAAATTGAAAACTCGAGTGTGGTATGCATCTAACCAATATAATATTTTACCCTTTAGTTTATTCAAGATTGAGGGTATACAATCTAATAAATGTATGCATGCATTAAATCTTAAGGTATCGTGAGGGCAAAACCATTTTTATTTTATCTTATAAGCCTAATGTATATAAAATCAAATTCTAAGCAAGCACAAACCATGTAGAAAAAACAGAAATTCCAAGTATACAAGCAATATAAGCACTCCAATAAAGTCTCACTTAATGCACATTACTACATGAGATTGATCCTATTAGTTAAGAATAATCTCAAGGGCAACTTACATAAGTTTTGATGTTCATTTATCCAATTATTGTATTTTTATTTATTTAAGATTATTTTAAAGGTGAACATTTAAATAATCAATAAAATATTTTAAAATTTTAATGAAATCTTTACAGTGATCATGGATGATAGGAGAAAACTCCCATTAAAATTTTAGAATTATTTGAATTGATTGTATTTTTAATTATTTATCATATTTAAAAATTTAAAATTTATATAAAAACTATAAAATTAATTGGTGATTTTTTTTCAAAAATAAGGAGACATTTTAAATTGACTTGAATTTTTTTATTTTTTAATATTTAATTGTTTTAAAATAAATTTATTTTTAAAAATGTATAAAAATTTACAAAAGTGTCACTGGAGGCCTCAACCAACCCCATAAAATTTTAAATTCATCTCATTTTAATTTGGATATTTTCGACAATTATCCAAGTATTTATAATTTTAAAAATTAATTAATTATTAATTTAATTCAAAAATTAATGAAAACTTTTGGGTTGGTTTGGGGATGTCCTATGGTGTCCTTAAAATTTTCTAACCATTGCATGGTTTTTAATGATATATTGTGGTTATTTAACTAGCTAATAATTTTTTTCTATTTTTTATTGTTGGTGTATTTTTTTTTTATTTAATTTATTTTAATTTACAATTTTTTTTATTCATTATTTACTTATTATGATCATATTTATATTTTTTCCTTAATCAAATACTTGATTAATAAATTATGTCTAATTAACCCATATGCATGTATACTTCATTGAACATTATAATAGATGATGCTTCCATAACTTCATTATTTTTAATGAATAATACTCTGAGCAAACCCTTGCTTTATCTTTGCTTTTTTTTTTCTTACCTCCTAGGGTTACCTCACTTGATTGGGAGTGCAATTGGAGTGATTCTACTCCACTTTCCATAGTTGTTTTCCTATTTAATTTTTTTCTTTTTTTAGTTAATTAAATTCCAAGCTTCAAAATTGGATGTGATTATTTAAATATTTGATTTGATAAATAAAAAATGAAGATTTTGGTGTTCTGATAAAAAAATTATAGTGAAAACTTTGATTGAAAATGATTTCTAACGACACAAATTTGCTTAATTATTTAAGAAAAATAACTATAAATTTATTGTCTAGAGTTACTCTAAGTGCAGAATTAGAGACTATTTGGTAGAAAATTTTAATAAGATTGATAACCATATTTACTAAATCCAACCAAAAGATAAGTTTTAAGAGCATCACAGATTTACGGATTTACTAAATCTAATCTTGTCTTCAATTCAATCTAAATCTTGGAGTTCAGTGGATGTATGGATTCATAAGTCTGTTAACATTAAATTATTAATTTGATAAAAGTTCAGACTCTGCAATCTCCCTACAAAATACGTTTGTTAGCCATCGCTTTCACCTCAACATGTCAAGGTGCAGCAGTGGGCTCCTCATTACTATTAGGATAATAGGTTTTATAAATATTAGTGTTCTAGCGCTTGATGATTGTCTTTTATTTATAGAATGTGAAGAGCCTTATGATATTTTCACTGTAGGTATATCTTTGGGGACTCATATCAAAGCCCTCTAAATTAGTCTCATAAGCCTCTCTTTGATCTTTGTATGTTATTTGTCAACTATAAAATTTTAATTCCTTATGGTTACAAATCTTCTTTGTATGTTTCTATAGCTCTTAGTTTCTCTTCTAAGACATCAATTCACTCTCACCAGACTTTTTGAAGATATTGGATTCCAAATTTATTTGTGGTGATGTCAAAACCCTACTGACAAAGTTTGTAGATCTCACAAAATAATGGATAATGAGAAATAGAAGAAGAAAAAGAACAATAAGAAGGAAGAGAGAGAGAGAAGGAGAGAGTTTTTACTAAGAGGAGTTCTTAGTATTCTATTGGCAACATCAAATGCTTAAAAAAAATCGCCCTACAAATTCACCCTTTGATCCAATATTAATGGGATCCTGGGAGCTATAAATGAATCTATATTTTGACATCATAAAAAACGAATGAACGAAAAAAATAACAAAATAAAAGACGGGACTTACTAACAACCCATAAACATATAAATATATATGATAACTGCATTCGTAGTCATCTTGAAGACCTCAACAAGATGTTGGCGACTAGCCGGTGGCTCCATAAGCGAGCGGGCGAGTCTATGAGATTGGCGAGTGAGCTGACCAAGCCATACTAACTATCCCATCTGGTTGATTTCTAACTTCTTTGGCAAGGTTAGTATGACTCTCACAAGACACTTTTGGGTCTCAGACTATTCCTCACTATTAAAGTCATGTTGACTAGTCAACTCTCTTAATAAATAAAAAACCGGCTGGAGATTTAACCTAATTAGTTGAAGGCCCGCCAAGCTTTGTAAGGCTCGCCATCGAGTGTGGTGGCAAGTCTGGTTGCCCACCCATGGAAAAGATTCCTCAGTGGATTAGTACGGACAGAATTTACATGCATGCCACTCAATTCCTATGTATTTACATATCTAACACCTAAAGATTACTATTTTACATTTATACCACTCAAATCTTTCCAAATTTCACACAAAATTTTACCATTTTAACTTATAAAATGTAAAATACACATTTTCATGCATAGTTAAGGTGATGTTGATGTAAAAATTGAAGTTTAGGTGTCAGATATGTAAATACATAGAATTTCAGTGGTATGTATGTAAATATTTTTTCTTTTTTTGTTTTAATGAGTGATGAAAAAAATGTTTAATGCATGTAAACTTTAGTTACAAAACCTTAATAATTGTTTCTCAATTTTCAGCAAGATAATTAATTATGTTTTGTACTTTTAAATCTTAAATTGCATGTAATAAGATCATATAAATTCATTTTTCATATATCCTAAATTGATTTTACTCAAATCATCAACAATATAATCATGTCACCGTATACTTTCTGACTTTATTAAAGCATTCATTTTAACATTCTCATTTTATCAAATGTAACTAGACTGTTATTACTTCATTGTTAATAAAATTATGCAGAAGCATATCATAGAATCTATCTGATATAACTCCCAATTTCTCAAAGTTAAGTAGTTAATTTAAATACTAATAATTGTAATGAATAAGTTTGGTTAGGCATTTAGGTGATTATAAGCTATTTTAAGTCTATTTATACCGCACGCTTTAGAAGGTTAGGGCTCTCAATTTGGCTCGTTGTTCGCGAACAACTCGACTTGTTCGTTAAGCCTAACGAGTTGAAAACAAACAAAGTTTTAAGCTCAAAATGTAAAAGAGCCGAACACGAACAAAAATTTGTTCACTCGCATTCAGTGCGAAAATAAATATTCATAAAATTAAATATTATAATTAATTAATTTTTAAACAAACAATTTTTTTTTTAAAAAATCATTATTTTAATTTTATTTAAAAAATTAATTATTATAATAATTTTATATTCTCACGCGTCAATTTCGAGCCGAACACAAACATGAATAAATTTTTTGAGCCGAACACATACACTGTTCACGAACCATTTCAAACACGAGCCAATTTCTAAGAGGCCGAACACGAGCCCAGCCTGAGCTCGCTCATGCTCGGCTCGTTTACAGCCGTAGTCACAATAAGAATTTGAGTGTTAAATATTAAATTTAGGAGTTAGATGTGCAAATACATAAAAGTTGTGGTATGTATATAAATCATTCCAAAAGAACCATAAACCACACAACAAAGTCATTTTTATTATGAAAAATGTACCTTGAAATATATAAAAAATAGCAAAAAAAAGGTTTGCGATGTGCTCTTTCACCTCGTTTCTACATTAAAAACATAAGGAAAAAATTGAAGATACAACATTAAAAAAAAAATTTAAAATTTTCAGCAGCAAAACCTGCTGAAGTGACAGAAGTTCCGCTCAGCTGGAAATCTGCATCAGAACCAGATGATCCAGCGATGCTCTTACAGAGTTAAGCTGTCAGAATTTTCAATTATCTTTGAAAATGTCTGAAGGAAAGCAGCTAAATCCGCACCATAAATAATCCGGTGATCTGCTGTCACATTAACCTGCAATAGAACAGAGTACAGGCAGAGATTTGTTTGAAGTTGAGGTAGTATAATCATGTATTACTACTAAATATTAATGTATGATGGTTTCATAACAAATTCTACCAATAATATCAAGTTTTATAATAAACTTCAGCAGCATTATTAAGTTTTCAACAAAATGAAGCAAAATTTCCATTCTAACCGATGGGAGGTTGAAATTGAATTCTTTTAAACTAAAGGCAGTCAGAAAAGTAGGTAAGATCATGGAAGCTTCCCAAATGGCATCAAGATGAACCAAGTAGATAACCAAACCAAATAATTTACCTAATGGGTTTAGCTGGGCAAACAATTCTAGAGGATATTTCTCTAAATATCTATTATTTACGCTATTTATTTCTTCACTTTTCCAGCAAATCAGATGGGGACTGTTGGTTTCCTTGAGCTCCAAATATTTGCAAAATGGGAATTTCTCTTAATACACTATTTTGGTCGAGCAAAAATTGATTTTGCTCTGCCTTCTGAAACCAGCAACCATTTCATGGCCTATGGCTTCTTGTGAAGCCGCCCACAAGTATTCTATGAAAATATTTATGTTGTCATTAATAAATTAGATCAGTCAATCATATGACTTTAATTTTAAAATTAAGCGAGATTTTAAATCAAAAATAAAACAAACACAGCTTCACTAATTGTTTACCTTAAATCTATAAGTCAACCAAATATCTTAACATAGCTTACAAGTCTAACTTCAAAAGATTACATTTTATCCTTGTGTTAAATCTGAATATGTACTGTGAATCACACCTAATAAATAGAGCGTAGAACATAAGAAAGAAGGAGAGGCACGGAGAGAGAGAGAGAGAGAGAGAGAGAGAGAGAGAGAGAGAGAGAGAGAGAGAGAGAGAGAGAGAGAGAGAGAGAGAGAGAGAGAGAGAGAGAGAGAGAGAGAGAGAGAGAGAGAGCAGAAACAAATTGATTCTTTGATTGCCCTTTACTATAGAAATAATCCCTCTACTTATAGGAGGAGTACCGTGTGCATAATTACATGGTCAACCTTGATTTAACGAGGGCATCATAGGGCATTTTGAGTATCTACATAAATGAGCTTATAGCTCGACTAATCTATCACTCGACCGGCTAAGATTGGTGGTCCTTGGATCAGGAAGGCACACTCTGTTGACCATGCTGAGTTGGGGTTATCGATCGGCTTTAGTTGATCTTTGGTCGTCCGGACTTTGCTCGGTCGACTCGAGGCAACGGATCAGTTGTTTTGGTCCGGCTATCAACTATCAACCCCTAGATGAGGAGCTTCTGTTGCAATGATGAGACTAAGATTTCGGGCAGATGGTGAATCACCGTAATCTGACAAGTATCTCATCTCTTGACAAAAGGTTCCTTTGGGGTATTCGCGGAGTGTATCATGATGAGAACCTTCAGCCTCCTGAAGAATCTTGGAGTCTCTTATAAGGCAGCTGGCGATGCTGGAGCGAGAGCTAGGGTGATGCCTTCTCTCGGCTCGATGGATCTTGGTCTTTGACTCGGAATGCCTTTGTTCGGCATGCTTCAGGTCTTGACCCAAGGATCCATACTTGGTCGATCAAGACTTTGGTCTTCCGATGACATGTCTTTTGGTCTTCATTCTATGAGTCATCCTTGATCCTATATGTATCTCTTAGTCTGTTAGATTTTCTAGAGATTCACGTAAATGCATTTCTAATTTATATATTTTTGTTTCACGATTCTCTTCTTGAAAGTGGCAGCTGCAATAAAAATAAGAGAATTAAATGTAAAAAGAAATAAATTCATTTATTTCATAATTAGTGTTAATAATTGAACATCCTGAATTTTCGTACCCATGGTCCCTTTAGATGGGGCTTGATTGACGCATTTATTATCCGCATTTGTTTTAAAGTGCGTCTCTCAATCGGTCAATTTCGAGAGTGCTTACCAAGAAAATGTTGATAAAAGCCTTGGGGATTTCAACATCGCAATCCATCTTGACAAAGAATTTGAGAAGAAGTGATCCCAAGGGCGAGAATAAGATCATAAGAGCAAAGCAGTCGGGAGAAGAGAGCCTGCTCGAGGGCGCAAAGAAGCACAGGGTAACAAAAAAGGCCAGAAGAAGGGAACTGACCCGAGGGTGAGAGGCGAGTCAAGCAACTCATCTACAAGAAGAAATGGGTGAAAGATCCTGGGGATAAGGACGTGCCGTCCGATTTGCGAACAATCCTTTGACAATAGGAGGGAGGCAAGTTGGGCGATCTGCCTATTAGTGTGTCGATCCATACTCCTATTTTGGCCCGCGACAAGCCGACCGACCAACCTACCCAGGGAACAGTTGGAGATTCACTGCCTGAAGATCGGGGGG